TGTGTATTATTTAACTTAATATATAATGAGTTAAGTGTATGCATATCACACATTTATGTAGCTCAATACATTAAGAATTATATAATACAACACAGAGTTGATATATATAAATGTTACATATAAACATATGTTGATATATATTAACAGTTATATAATACAACACAAAGAGTTAATAATATATAAATACAACACAAAGAGTTATATATGTGTGTATTATACATTTAACTTAATATATAATGAGTTAAATGTATGTCTATCACATTCAACTCTCCATTGAGGAAAGGACCATTATCTTCTCCAAGTTCAGAAGAAGGAAAAAGAGAAATATATTGAAATTCAGCAATTTGCTGGTGTGGTCAAATCCAACCCAGAACTTGCTTCTTTTACATTGTAGTACCCTCCAGGGTATGCAGAAACAGATAGCTAGTGCATCTTTATGACTAAAAAAGAAAGTTTTTGTTGTTGATCACCCAGTAACAAGAAAGTATAAAATCAGCATATTTTCTCAACAATATTTTTATTTTATAGTTGTTGAATAAAGTATCGCTGACTTCATTTTACACTTTCTACATACTTTGAAAAATATGTTGTTTTCCTCCCATTTTGTAAGTCTAGGTCTGCTGTTGATGAGCCATGCAGTGTGTTCTCCTGTCGCTTGATGTTTTCATTCTGAAATCATGGTTGGTTTTCAAACACAAAAGTTTTCACTACAGTGATACAGATGAGGTTTATGTTTCGGCCACAGTCTTATACTCAGGGTGCCTAGAGTATAGGATATTATTAGGATACTATTTCTTTTCCTGTCCTAGACATCCAACTAAGGCTTCAGGACATGTTTTGAGTGAAGATGGGTGTTTCTGCCAGGATAGTATAACTCAAGGATCCAGGTCTGGGCAGATTCAACCATGGGAGCCAACACTTCAAGCAAACCACCGGTGTTTGATGAAAATGAAGATGGTAAGAAATACGGGATAGTGGCATATAAAAAAATAGAATTTTGCAAAATTCAAGTATATGCTTCTAGTTTCTTAAGTTAAGTATAAGCATTGTCTGTAGGGCCTTGAAGGAAAAAGGCAAAGCTGCGTGAGTGAGCCTGAGGACTTTGTAGGCTCATAGCTAGGTTTTACCTTCCACTTTCCATGGGACCTTTGGCAGCTTTCCTCATCTCCACTATACCAATGTCCTTTCTCCAAAATGAGCTGCAGTTTGGCATGTGGTGGATAATTAAATGATTTGTTTGTCCTCTGTGCTGTTCCTTGGCAGTTGAAGTTACCCCCATTGCTCATTGTTATAGAAAATATATTATCAACATGTACATAAATGATAACCAGCGCTCATAATATTATAGAATGAAGCTGTGCCTTCTGAATTTCCAACTGCCAAGCTTTTGTGTACTAGACAAATCCCATAATATTACATCACAGAAAAAAGAATCAGTTTTATTGGAGAAAAGGGAAACTTTCCAGGCCAGACTCAGCAAGGCAAGAGTAAAAGCATGAGTCCTCCTGATTCTCCCATCAGTGAGGCATGCTGGAATGGGGCAATGCCTCCTCATGTCCCCTTCTTCCCTATATGTTAAGTGTGAACAGCATTAGCATATGCAGGTGGAAGCTGTTTACAGGTTGTCTGGGGGGAAAAATGTCCCAAGCCCCAGGTAGTAAGTTGTCCAGACCTCTGAGAGGGAGCCCTTCTGAGTAATTCCCAGAGAGCTCTGCCAATTGGAACAGGGAGGAAAAGAATGGACTGAAATTCAGGAAATCTGACACCGGTCCTACTACCAGTTACTTGTTAGGCCCAAGCAGCTTATTTACTGACTCAATGTTCAATTTTGTTATAAATAAAGTGAGGAGATAAGTTCCTTCCAACTCAAGAAGTTTATCATTTTGAGATCCTAGAGTAACGTTGTGAATTCTGAAGAAGCTTCTAAATCATCCAGGGAAGTTTATCGGGTTAGAATGCAAGTTTGATCGCTGAAATGAAAACTACAAACAACAGCGGCTTAAGCCAAATGGACATGTTTATCTTTCTCATGTGACAATCTAGGCATAAGTAATCCAGGTGATGTGTGGTTCCAGCAGCTTAGGGACTCTGATGCCAACTACTTGCCTTTTTCCCTCTCTTCCTATTTCCAGAGTGGTCCCCTCAGGGTGGCTAACCAACCACACCAAATTCCAGCCAGTGAGAAAGGTGGAAAGTAGGGGAGGTTATGCCCACCGATTTATAGGATTTGCTCTGACTTGTCACTTTTGTTCACTTGCACTTACCTAGATACAAGCAAGACTGGGAAATTTAGTTTGTTATCTTGGGTGGCCATGAACCTTCTAAAAATAAAGAGTTCTGTTTTATTACAAAAGAAAAGGAGAATGAGGAGTTTGTCATGATTGGGGACAACTATATCTGCTGTAGTTGGGGCAAACAATCTTAGTTCTGAATCATTGGATGGAAATACTTTTAAAAACAAAGCATACGGCTGATCAGGATGCCTTGTTTCCAGCTATTCACTCAGTTTGGAGGTCCATTCTTACTATTTCTACAGAATAGTTCATAGGAACTTTGAAATTATATAGCTGGAAAGGGGTCTTAAGAAATCTTTTTTTTTTCATGGCCATTTTTGTTGCCTTGCTTTAATTTATCAAATAGTAAAAGCAAAGATCTAGAGACTAATGATATTACTTAATTTTTCTGTCTCTAAAATGGAAAGACAAATAGGCTTTTCATTTAGTTGGTTTCCTCTGCTTCCTCTGGACTCAGAGCTAATACTGTACATGAGTCTGGTCGTCAGAGAATAGGGTGGACCCTGGTCTCCCTAGACCAGCTGCATGCTTTTAACTTGCTGGGCTACATTTGAAGGTATTAGGATAGCATCATGATGAGAAAACAAAGACATGCCTAACTCTTCCTTGATTCAGCCAGGCTTTCTTCTTGTGGGATGCCCAAGAAAGCTACATACCCAAAGAATTGTGACAACTGGGAAATAAGCTATCCCTTTTTAGTTACTTTAAAGGACTCTAGAAAAACTCGGTTGGAGGAGAGTTAGGAGACCAGACAGGTCTTTCTTAACACCCTCTA